TGAACCTGGGAGATGGAGGTTGCTGTGAGCCAAGATCGCACCCATTGAACTCCAGTCTGAGCAACAAGAGCAAAACTCCATCTAAAAAAAAAAAAAAAAACAAGGAGCATGTCTAGTAACTTTCTTTGGTGACACCATAGGGGAGGGAAACAAAATTCTGACAAAGTCCTTCATAGAAGTTTATTCTGGGCCCTACTTCCACATTAACTTAAAGACAAAGAATTTCATTTCCAGAATATATTACTGTCTTGAATAGGAGAGTAAGTTAAAAAGGAAGAGTTAAAAAAAAGCAGATACTTAAGAAAACCATTTCAATTTTACTTGGGGAAGAAAAAAAAAAATCCCTGTAAAATCTCTTACCTTAAAATGATACTGACTCCAGCCAAGTTTTGGCTAAACAGTACTGCCTAGTATAAAGCTGACCCCTGAAAAACATGAGTTTGAACTATGTGGCTCCAAGTATACAGGGATTTTCTTTCACCTCTGCCACCCTTGAGACAGCAAGACCAACCCCTCCTCTTCCTTTTCTTCCTCCTCTTCCTCAGCCTACTCAATATGAAGACAAGGATGAATACCATTATGACTGACTTACATTTAATGAATAGTGAATATACTTAATCTTCCTTATGACTTTCTTAATAACATTTCTTACCTCTATCTTATTTTATTGCAATCATACAGTATATAATACACATAACATACAAAATATGTGCTAATCAACTGTTTATGTCATCAATAAGGGTTCTGGTCAACTGTAGGCTCTCAGTAGTTAAGTTACTGGGGAGTCAAAAGTTATACACATTGTTCTGTATGTGCAGAGGACAATGCTCCTGACCCCTGAGTTGTTCAAGGCTCAACTGTAGTTCATAACACAAGACTTCTCAGAGCCTTTGTACTTTCTGCTTACCCTCTCTGGCAGAGTCTCCCCCTAAGACATTCTATGGTTCATCCCTCTGCTCAAATGCCCCCTGGCCAGAAAGGCCTTCCCTGGCCATTCCATCTAAAAGAGCAACCCTACCAAGACCCCACCCACTCCCAGCACTCCCTGTTGTCTATTACTTTTCCCCGATTGATTTCTCTCCATAGCAGTGATTACCTGAGTGATATCATTTTTATTATCATCATTGATTTGTTTTCTCCCACCAGAACATAACCTCCACAATAAATGTCTGTTTTGTTCCTTGCAATAGTGTACTGTCCCTAAGTAGGTAGCAGGCATCCAATAAATTTGTTACACCAAGGTGAGAGGATCCCCTGGGCCCAGTAGTTTGAGCCTGCAGTAAGCTATGACTGTACCACTACACTCCAACCTGGGTGACAGAGCTGTCTTTAAAAAGAAAAAAATTATTAATGAAATAATGAATGCATATCATTTTCAAAGTTTTTTTCAAATTCCTAAGTTTTTGGCCAGACACAGTGGCTCACATCTGTAATCCCAGTACTTTGCGAGGCTGAGGTGGGTGGGTCACTTGAGACCAGGAGTTCGAGACCAGGAGTTCTAGGCCAGCCTGGCCAACATGGTGAAAACCCATTTCTCCTAAAACATACAAAAATAAGTGGTGGCGTGTGCCTGTAGTCCCAGCTACTCAGGAGACTGAGGGATGAGAATCACCTGAACCCCAAAGACAGAGTATGCAGTGAGCCAAAATCGCATGACTGCATTCCAGCCTGGGTGACAGAGCAAGTGAGACTCTATCTCAAAAAAAAAAAAAGGAAAAACCTTAAGTTTTTTTAAATTATGCGCTAAAATCATTTTTCTTCCCATGGATTACTTGACATATAATAATATAGCTATTTGGACTAAAAATCATGAGACAAGTCTCTCAGTTCTGCCACTAATTTCTTGTATAACTTGGTTAAACCATGTCCCAGTTTTACCTTGTGCTACTGACGTTCTACAGCTTGCAGCCACGACTAAAATCCAACAGAAAAACAGATTACACATATAAAGATTTCTCTGCGCATGTCACCTTTAGTGACTTATGTATGGCATAAAATAAAGACTATAAGAACTACTTTTCAAGAGGGTGACCTAAGATATACTCTATTAATATTCTCTCACCAGGGTCTAATCTGGAAGGTTCAGACTTTTAAATTGCTGACCTCAAAAACACCTGCTATTTTCAGAAACTTACAAAATACAGAGATGTTAACCCATTTCCACGTTTAAGCCGCAGTGCTTTGCCCTTTATTCTACTTTCAAACTTGCTACCATTCATTATCTCCATTTCTAAAATATCACGAATGTCATGGCATATAATGCTTTGTGAAAAGTGTTTATTATTTACATTTTTATATTACCAAAATCTAGACTTTTTTTCAGCTGCACTTGGAAAACTGTTCCAAATAGATTACACTACCCACTGGAGCTAAAGATCAGGGAAAAATCAATATGGGATGTTCATGAATAACGTCTGAGTCTGTTATGGAAAGATTGTTATTTAATTAAATGAGACTACATATACAGTGATTTGGAGAGATGAGGAAAATAGTGTTTAATATGTTAGCTAACGATTACTATATTTAAAGAATCTCTGAGCTGATAATTTTGAGAATTCACCCTAGTTCATCTAGGACTCTGCATTTAGTACTTAAGGAGAAATGTCTCATTTTCCAGAATCGAATAAAGATAATTAAGCACACAATTGTGTAGAATGGATTTCAGTGTGTATTCAAATCAAGACCAACGTACTTTTTAATAGTCTAACACCTCCAAGTAGTAGTTGCAAGTATCGTACCCATGAATCCAGATAATTAATGTGTCTAACATCACACTGTTAAAATGTCAGGTGGGCTCCAAAACAGTCCTAACCAGCATGCTCTACTGCCTCCTCTAAGGCAACAGCTGAAGTGAAGACCACTAGGATAAAAAGCTGTCCAGCCTTCCTCATTTCTGAATTATCCCAACAGACCCCAACGCCTCTCTGGGATTCTCTCTGCACACCCTGCAGGCCACCCCGAGTTCCCGGCATCCTCTGGGTTCCCTCTTCCTGGTGCCAAAACGCTGCGCAGGCTCCTTTCCTCCAGGCTGATTGCCTAGGTGCTCTCTGAGGGCTGTCCGAAGTCTCGAAGTCTCGCGAGGGCGAACCCGTTGCGGGGCGGGGAGAGGGGGGGGGGGGGGGGGGGGGGGGGGGGGGGGG